TTATTATCCAAATGTCAACAGTTGGGGGATACTGAGTTTATAATGACATTTTACACATTTTATGAGTAATGATGTTCAAATCTTACAAAATATTAGGTATGTCAAATGTAATGAATGTCAAAAAAAGTATAACAAAGACATAACCTGGGGAAACATTGCATATGAATATGGCAGTGACAACTTATCAATTCATTATATGCTAAAGGAGAGTTTATCCAAAATGCCTTTATCTCATTAAAAATTCTTACTGGACAGAAATGTTGTACATGTGGGGATTTGAGAGGAAAATGTAATTCATGATGGATATGATGTCATAGATACTGCTTTAAAGTTTCTTGAAGGTTTGAATGGGGCCTCTGAAAATTGACCAGATTGCTTTACTTTCTTTAAGATTCATCTGAAAGAGGATAGATATCTCTACCAAATGTCTTTAGGAACATTGGAAAAGTTTTCTATAGGTAAAAGCAAATTCTATTGTCTTCTAAAGGGTACATTTATTCTACAGAGTTTATTGTCCACACCCGAGAGAACCTCATAAGTAGAAAACAAGTAAAACAGCTAAAATGTAAAAAAAAAAAAAAAAAAAATTTCATAGGTAAAAATATTCTTTCCTGTATAAACATTAAGTAAATTTGGAATTGAATTGTATAGAGAAGTCAATAACAAATGAATTACCACGTCACAAACATTTATCTCAATAAAGGTGTTTGAATTTATCATTCCCCTCGTAACATATAAACAATACAATTTATATCTATTTTGTAAATATTATTGCTGCATATTTTTTAAAAAGCCTGGATGGTGACCTAAATTATGACATGCTGCATCCCTCCAGGTTTTGTCCTTATACAATTCTCTGCAACTGACCCAGGGCATCACAGGGTGAGTGGGGAATGGGAATGGAAATGGTGTTCTGATAGATGTTTGTCTGCGATAGCCTGTTTCCCAAAGGTAGAATTTTGAATTTCACACAGATACAATTTTGCATTTTACATTCAAGTTTGCATCTCCTGCACAGACAACTGCACTCCTTGCTTCACTGAACTACTTGTTTGGTTCGTTGCCCGATTCAGTCATTGCTCCACCACAGCTGGATGTCCAGGTTCCCAGAACCCAGAGCTGGAGTTCAGCTGGCATCTCTGCCAATACCCACCGGCGAGTCCGCCACTTCCCAATAGAAGTTTTGAGCAAATCCGTTCTCAGCCTGTTAAAGACATTGTAGCTTTCAACGTAAGTGGCCACTGATCTCGAAATTTTATATTAAACTGTTTGAAACATCAACTTAAAATGGGCAGGGAGTAGTCCTGCTTTACAGGGCACGAAAGAAATTGCACAGGTTCAGAACTCAGAAAATACAAACTGTGAGGCAAGCGGACAGGTGTCAGGACCCAGGTAGCATCCCCGGCGATGCGGATCCTGGTCATCATCCTGGGGGCTGGGCTCCACCTTCGAACCGGAATCCGACTGTGGGCCGCAGCCCGACCACCTTTTCCGCCTGCACGCAACGCCCACCCTTAGCCACAGCGCATCCCAGCGCCTCCCCAGTTCCTGGGGCTCAGCCCAAACCAAGCGCCCCAGGTGCAGCCTCCCCGCCAAACCCCTTTGTTCACGCCCCGCGCTTCGGCCCCGCCCCGCCCTCCATGGTCCCCGGAGCCCCGGCCGCCCCGAGCCCCGCTAATCCCACTCCTGACATGATGTCCTGCCTCCCAACTCAGGCCAAAATTCCAGTTAGGGGGATGCTAGAAGCCCCTGAAGGCTGTGGATCTCAGGATAAAAGAATGTACGTCTCCACTGCTGAGATGGAATCAGAAATGCAGCAGTACCACATAGCGGCAGCACGCGCAGTTACTCCCGAACCCGGAAGCGGTTGGTGCGGAGGGAAGGTAACCGTGGCATCTGAGGCCTCTGGTCTTTCTCCTTTAAACCTCAGCATCTCAGCCCGCAGCCCTGCACGTGTGAAAGCCCAAACCCGCCTCCCATCAGCGGTAAGTCTCGCGTCCCGGTGAGACCTCTGACCCCGAGGGCTTTGCTGCGCGATTGAGACCCGCGTTCCCTTTGGCTGGAACTGTGGAGCCCTCTCTGCCTGCGGTCTGCCTTCCCGGGGCCCCTGCGCCGGCCCGCGCGTTGTTTTCCTGCTAAAACCGTTCACGGGCCAGCCCTTCCCCCCAGGCCATTAAAGTGTTGGGAGATGGAGTCAAACCCTCCCTCCCCTCCGCAGCCTCGCAGTTCCGGGCCTGTAGAGCCGGATTCCTCCCTGGCCTGGGAGTATAGACACCCCTCTTTCTAGATGCTCCCCACCACGCCCCACTTAGTAGGTAGGAGGCCGGATCAGTGAGGGGACCCATAAGGAGTCCGCAAAATTGAGGACGTGGAAGGTCCTTGCAAATCGACTGTAAGTATGAAAGAGGAACTCGGGAAAGTGGTAAATGGAGAACAAATGGAGACCATGGAGGAAAGGTGAAGGGGAGCAAAAGGGTGAGGAGCCCTTGGTTAGCAGAGGTGGGGCCCCGAAGGGCGAGGCCCTTGAGGTGGAGAGAGTCAGGGGAAAAAGTTGGATGAGGCCAGTGCAGGGGCTGGAAGGGAGAAAGGGATGACCGAGCCCAGCAAGAATCAGCACTATGGTCCTGGCCGGTTTGGCTCAGTGGATAGAGTGTCGGCCTGTGGACAGAGAGGTCCCAGGTTCGATTCCGGTCAAGGGCATGTACCAGTAGGGGTTGTGCAGGAGGCAGCTGATCGATGTTTCTCTCTCATCGATGTTTCTCTATTCCTCTCCCTTCCTCTCTGCAAAAAATGAATAAAATATTAAGGGGAAAAAAGAAAAAAAAAGAATCAGCACTGTGCGCTTAGCCAGGCGGTGGGCCAGGGAGGCTGGCAGGAGAGGTGGAACCTGAAAGACAAAGGAAGCAGAAGGGACACAGGGATGGGGGAGAAAGGTGGGGAACAATCGGAGAGATTAGGGAGAAAGGGCTCCTGTAGGTGACGGTTCCAGTAATTTCACGGAATGGGTATAGGAAAGGAGTAGAATAAAGGGGAGACAGGAGCCAGGGGAAACACAGGAAAGGACAGTGGAGAGAAACAAAGGAAAGAGCGACCTAAAGGACCCAGAAACAAGTGGAGGAAGAAGGGAACCCAGTTCTGGGTGAGTGGAAAAGTGATGTATGTGGGTGATTAAGTTGTGATGTGTTGACTTGTGGCTTTTTGACCTATTTAATTTAATATTTGTATTTCAGTTGTACAGATGCAAACGAGAATTGCAAAGGTCCAGTTTATAAGGCTTGCTCATTTTATAAATTATAAAGTGGTTATTTGTGTCAGCAGATAGCTTTCATTTGCAGCCCTTATTCAGCCAGAGGGGAGAGTCTTGTCTCCGTCAGTCCTGGGTCTCTTCCCATTTCCTGGGATGGGATTAGCGAAGTGAACTGGGACAGAATGACCAAGTCTATCCCCACAGGATGCTTTTTCAAGGAATATTAAAAGTGTTGGTTTTTTATTTCTTTGAAATGGATTTACTCTTTCCTTTCTACTGCTGTTATATTTATTTAATTGTTTTTAAAAAACATATTTAGTCCTAGCCACTTTTGCTCAGTGGTTTGAGCGTTAGCCTGCTGACTGAAGGGTCCTGGGTTCGATTCCAGTCTAGGGCATGTACCTCGGCTGCAGGCTCCTCACAGGCCAGGGCCCTGTTCGGGTCTTATGCAGGAGGCAACCAATCAATGTGTTTCTGTTACATTGATATTCCTCTCCGTCTTTCCCTCTCTCTTCCATTCTCTCTAAAATTCAATTGAAAAATATCCTCGGGTGAGGACTAAAAAAAAAAAAAGAATTAAAAAATAAAAAGCATTTGAAATAAATCTTTGTTGAATTTTCCTTTTTTTGTAAATTTTCATTAACTTCTGAAATAAGCATTGGTGACATCTCATCATCAGCTCTTACCATTCTTTTCTAAATACAAGGTAGCATTTGCAACGGTATGGATGGAGCTGGAGAGCATTATGCTAAGTGAAATAAGCCAGTCAATGAAAGAAAAATACCACATGATCTCACTCATTCATGGATAATAGAACCATTATAAACTTTTGAACAATAGATATAGAGGCAGAGCTGCCTCAAACAGATTGTCAAACTGCAGCAGGAAGGCCGGGGAGGGTTGGGGGCAGGAGGTAGGGGGGTAAGAGATGGGGGGCAGGAGGGAGCGGGGTAAGAGATCAACCGAAGGACTTGTATGCCTGCATATAAGCATAACCAATGGACATAAGACACTGGGGGGTAGGAGCGGCCAGGGGATTGTCAAGGGCGGGGGAAAAAAAAAAAGGACACATATGTAATACCCTTTGTAATAAAATATACTTTTAGCAATAATACTTTTAGCAATAAAAAAATAAATAAAAAAATAAATACAAGGTAGCTTAGAAAAACACAATTAACCCTTGAAGACATTATATTTTTAAAAATTTGAATTTTTTCCCTTCTGAATACATTGTATCTACTTTAGATTATATGCTCTGTATTTTTTCTTTCCTGTATAACGTGGGAACATCCATTGGTACATATAAATGACATATTAGGCTATTTCAGTGTAGACTTGGTACGGATGGCTATGTTAACAGTCAGAACCTAGTTTTAATGAGTTAGTCAAATAGTCATAGTTTTAAAAATTCCATTTATATGATTTGTTAAATTAGTGAGCTGTGAGCTACAATGATATTCCTTTAAATCCCTTTTCTCCATTCTCTGAAAATGCTGAAGGATGGACATGAAACTTTGTTCCAAGAGAGCTCATCTGTTTATGGTGAAGGAATTTGATCAACCTATTTCCGTAGCTAACATTTTTTTCAAAGTTTTCAGCACCAAAATCTGTGTGCATCATTTTATATATTTTAAATAATTCTCGGTGAATTCCTGGAAAAGATGCAGAAAATGATTGTGTTTCTTTAATAGATCTGGGGACAGACAATTCTGTGATGGAAGGAGTATTATCAGTGTCTTTTGACAGATCAGGAAATTGAGGTAGAAGAGTGAAAGGCTCAGATGCTGGAAGCAAAAGGCTCAGAGTCAAGTCAAATCTATGAATTTTTGCAAATTATTTACCTCCAGGTGCTTTGGGTTCAGCCTCTGACGTAGGATAATAAAGGCTCCAGCTCTACAATTAAGTGAGTGAATTTGTAGAAAGCCCAGCACAAGACCTGTGTCACTGAGGTGCTGTGTGTGCAAGTGATCACTACAAAGTGTTTCTTGTTATAGCTCCCTGTGCTCATCAAGAACTCACTGGGACTTGCCTACCCGCGCCCCCTTCAATCCACCTGCCTCCTGTCCCCATCGCTGTTCCCAGGTTCTTTCTCCCGACACAGGCATCCATGATGCTGCTGCCAGAGCAGGAAGTCCCAGCACCTTTGCCTGGTGTTTGAGGCCTTGGTTTTCCGGTGGCATTTTTCAAAGGTTCACCCACACCCAGCGCAGTCTGACCGAAGTTACTGGGACACCCTGAGCATTTTCACTCTTGGAGGGTTTGCATAGGGTCCCTTCCCTTCCCACACTCCCCTGGCTTATAGACTGTTGGACCCAAATATCCCCCTTGTGGCCCTTCACACTCACAGTTCCCACTGAGCTCATTGTCTTTTCCTCATCTTTCTCATTACCCAGCTTCCCCTCTGTCCACTCAGTCACTGGACAAGACCCAGGGTCCTCTGTACCAACAAGTGCCCCACTCCTGATCTCTATCCCTCTTTCTCCTGGTTTCAGACCCCTGAATCGACCCATTCTCTCCTTTCCATCTCCATGGTTTCAGCTGGTTTAGCTTCTATCTTCTGTCCCTCAGCCTTTTTGAGCCTCCTCTTTGGTCTCAAGTATCTACCATCAAGTCTGTTTCTACCAATCTCATGGCCTTAAAGGGGTTTTTATTTAGAATTGACCTACCCCTTCCCTGCTTACAGCCCTCTCATTCCACCTGTCCCTTCAACAGTGTCCAGGGTCCTCAGTTTAATGAGGAACTCACCAAGACAAGTTAGCGCCCACGAGCTGCAGGAGGTAGGCAGCCATAACCAGCATTGGGTGCCTGGGCCCCCTCTACCTCTTCCTTGATCAGTGCAGGCATCAAGCAGGTACTAGCAGCAGGAGCAAAGGGGCCTGAGGGATTGTAAGGGCTGCATTCCCCCAGACCCTGGTTTTTTTTTTGGTGGATTGTAGGGAGGAGGAGTCCAAGAGGAGAGAGGTAGGTAGTGACTGAGAAGTGCTAGGACAGGGAAGGAAAGAAAGGCCTGCCTGGTGCTGGTTGTGTAACCTTGGGAGTACTCCTGGTGCACTGTGGCTTAGGCTCCACATTGGTAAAATGGGCACAATCATTACCACGTAATGTTGTCACAAGAATTAATGACTCTGCAGAAAGAGCTTAGAATAGTCTGGCCCTTAGTATGGTTGCATTTTATTTTGTAATTGGAAAAATGTGTTTCTGTTGCTGTTCTATCAAATTGTTTATTCCTCTTCTTTCTCTAATAGTTATTGAGAGTTACATGGGTGACAGGAATCTTATCTGTCTAATTTATTGCCTGAACCTATTAGAGCTCATTAAGTAATCTTATAATAGTTTTAATAAATGAAATATTTCAGTGAATGAATACATAATAAAACATGCAGTGTATGAAGCTAAGCTGGCCCATTGGAGCCCACAGATCAGGTTCCCTTTGCTCCTTCTACACTCCATCTCCTGCTCTCTCCCCCTTCCTGCATTAGCTGCAGACACAGGGGCCTCCTCACTGTCCCTTAAACACATAGGCAGGTTTCTGCCTTAGGATCTTTGCCGTGGCTGTTCCCTTGTTCCCAACTTTTAGTGAGTTTTCCACGCTGTTTTAACTTGTCTGCATTGGGCTTCTCTGGACTCAGATGCTTTTCTGTTTATTTATTTGTTTGCTTATTTATTATCTGTCTCATGATTAAGGTGGCTGCCCACATGTGCAAGACCTTGGTCTTGTTCTGGTCTGTGTCTCTAATGCCAGACACCAAGGAGATGGTTAATCTTGGATGAGTAAACATATGTACAAGTGATTGGCAAAGCTAAAGACGAACGACATAAAGGAATGGGTATGTGGGAACAAATTGAGAAACATATGTTTAGAGTTAGAGTGAGTGTGACAGTCTTTTTAATTCCTCTCTCAGAACCTGACACATCTTTAGACAAATACAACAAGGACAAAAATACTGAGTAACACCATGATATAAGGTTGGGAGTGTATATACACACCCACTTGACTCTGATCCTACAAAAAAAAAAATCTTTTCTTTTCCCAAGACCATGTTTAGTTACAAAGGTAATTATATACATAACCTCAAAGAAAGCATCAAAGAAATGAAAAGGTTGAGTATTACAGGGCACAGTCTGCCCTCATATTGCATAAAATACTTTCTTGTTGGTACTGTAGTGCTGGCCCATCCAATATGGTAGCCAGTCTCTTCCTGTGGCTGTTGAGCTTGTGAACTGTGGCAAGTCTCAGTTGAGATATGCTTTCAGTGGAGGATACATATTGATTCTTCAGAACACAGTAGGGGAAAAGGATGTGAAATACCTGGCATAAGTTTCTTTAAATATTGACTATTTGTTGAAATAGAACAATTTATAGTAAGTGTGTATTCAGTTAAATAAAAGATTGGGTTAATTCAAATTTGTGATTTAATAATTAATTGTTTGAAAATTATAAAGTTATCAAAATTAAATCCAACCAGATCAGTATAGAGAACAGATTAGTGGTTGTCCTGGGTTACGGATAGGAGTTGTTAGAAGGCAGCTCCAATTAAGGATCTGGTTTGTGGTTCTGATTTAAACAAAACTACATGGTTAATAAAATTTCATAGACACACACACTTAGACACCCACCCCCATAAACTTATCATGTAAGGCTTCAGTTGGGTCTCAATCATATGTTGAAATCTTATCCACTGCCTTGTGATATTACTCAACTTAAAAAATTACCTTAAAAGTGGGGATATTACCTTATTTAAAGATTACCTTAAAAAGATAATCAACTTGCCCTGGCTGGTTTGGCTCAGTGGATAGAGCATCGGCCCAAGGACTGCAGGGTTCCGGATTCCATTCCGGTCAAGAGTACATCCCCGGGGTGCTTTCTTGATCCCCAGTAGGGGGCATGCAGGAGGCAGCCTCTCTCCCTCTCCTTTCCTCTCTGAAATCAATAAAACAAAATATAATCAACTTAAAATAAGGGCATTAATAGTGGGCCCTCCTCTAATATGCCTGTTTTCCTTCTTAACAGGGGAAATCTGGACACAGAGTTATGCATAGAGAGATAAGGTAGCAATTTTTTATTCCTGAGAACCATGTTAGTAAAATAATAATGTGGGCCTATTGACCTGTTTATCTGCTATTAAAAGCATAAATTTCCCCATGACGATTTACTAGATGTACCAGTTAATGCAGATTTTTTTTCAATAGATGGGGTTACACATATGTTGTTACATATGCGATTTGATATGTATGCTATTTTGTTGTATTGACAACA